AAAATCTTAAAAAAAAAAAAAAAGAATTAGAAGCAAAAGGAAAAATGTATAGAAGTGAATACTAAACTATGAGGAACATAGCAATAAACATAACAGATTCTGTCCAGAGAAATAAGAGGTGAAAAAGAAGAAGATGAAGAAGAAAATTTTAAATTAAAGAGAAATGGAAAACTAGAAAGAATTCATGGAAAGTGACAAATATTGCAGCTAGGCAAAGAAGATCCAACATAGAGATAGTAGAAGTCCCTGAAGAAGAAATATAAAGCAATGGGACAAATACTAAAAAGTAAAATTTAAGAAGACTTTCCAGAAATTTAAAAAAAAATTATGTACTTAAAGAATCCACTGTGTACCTGCATATTTTGAATCAAAACTACCAATATCAAGACAGAATCTTTCTTCATTTAAACATAGGCATGATTGAGTTTCTATCTTAATAGCAATCACAACAGATGTAAAATTAACAATGCATCAACAAATAACAAAGAATTTGTTTTGACATTATTCTTTATCAGAAGCCTCATATTCATCCGGTGAAACAGACTAAGAGATACAATCCAGGTCAGTAGAGAAAATGAATGTTAACAGGAAAGATCTGAAACCAGCCCTCCAACAGACTCTACAGTATTCAAAGCAGCTTTCTATACTTGGGAGGCAGATGAAAGAAAAATACTTTGGCTGGTTCACTCATCTCTTAATCTACTTCCTAGCCCCAATATCCTTGTTCCCCTAAATGGCAGGGGGTGGGTGCTAAATCCAGTAGGCTCAGCATGACTTCTACCCACCCACCGGCCCCAAGAAAATCTCCCCACTCTGTTGTCAGCATTTGATGTTAATTCAATAAAGGGAAAAGCCAAATGCTAATATGTGATTAAAATAACATTTCATATAAATGTGCATCAATAATCAGATAAAAATAACAAGTTTCACCTTTTCCTTTAGTGATAGGTAGAAGTTGGTAAAAAAAACAAGGTTTTAGGCACCTGGTATAGATTTCAGAAATAAAAGGCTGAGAATAGAAGCCAAATTTCACTACCACCACCCAACATATATTTTCTTTAATATCGTTCTCACAGCTACTTCAATTGTCTAAATAATGTAAAGAACTCCAATTAATCAAATTTCATTAGGTTATCTAGGATATGTCTATATACAAACCTAACTGAAGTACAAAATTTAAAAAGACCAGTTCCTCTTATTTTTAAGCTATTGAGAAAATGGGTTTAACTCCTGGAAATCCTATAAAGACTACCTTAGAACTGGAATGGAATCCCTAATGCACTAATATATAAATACTAGCAAACACCTACTACCATGCTCAATTTATGATCTAGAAATTAAAATAATTTTTTAGTTAATTATTAGTTTTTACAACTTTTATCATGGAGTCATATAATTTTAGATCTGGAAGATACTGAAGGTTAAATTTTCAAATTTATACAATCATTTAATAGAATCATTTTCAAATAATAATTATCTCATACAACATACAGAGCAATAATTTCCAAAGCATTTAATTTTAATAAAACTAAAATAATACTAAATAATATTAAATTCATGGTCTTTCTCAGAAATATATATGGTATATACTCAGGACAATTAGCAACAATTATCCTTGTACCTAAGAGATTCAGTATGACAGGAACAGAGCATGATGAATGACAGAATGTTAGACAAACTAGTTTTGGGGGTATTTAAAATGGAATTCATTTTCATTTTTATAAACTACATAAATTGCCATATGCTCAAAGCTAATATTAACTATGTCTATGAAAGAAAAAGAATTTCCAGGTTATATATATAATCAGTATGAGGTAGAGGTAAAATTTAAGCTGACATTCCACACAAAAAGCTAAATAGATGGGCTACATTTCCCTTTTTCTGTTGTTTAAAAAAATCACTTTTCTCAGATGAGATTTATGAAAAACAAAGGAAATAGAGCACAGGTTTTAAAAAGTAACTTTATATCAGAATTTATAACAGTTTAAAAAATACAGCATTTTAGTGTTAGAATATGCAAATTGAAGCAACAATGTATGAAAATTCTACATATAATTAACACCTCGGTATTAGCACCTACTTCTTCCCTGCTTCTCTTAGAACTTAAACAGCTCTCTTCAGAGTTGGGGAAATCTCTCTTTCTGTTGGAAGCACATGAAAGTTGGTCTAAGAGTCTGTTGTCACAGTCTTTTTCTAGGATCTCAATCGCCATGTGGATAAGGTAGGTGTCAATGTTTTCAGGAACCAGCTTTCTAATTAGTTCAATTTTATTTATATCTGTAAAGGATGAAAAAAATAAGAGTTAAAAATAAATTACACAGAACATCTTAGAAAAATCTATGAGTTGGGAATAGTGAAATATTTTTAGAAAGGAAGGAGAAAGGTGTCCGAAGAAAATGTTCCTTTTTCAAATGCCTACAGCCCTACAAACGGAAATGAAGTAAAAAGCATGTTCTTCCCTCACCCCTCACCACCTGCAGCCCTTGCCTCCAAGACTTAAAGTCAGGTCAATGCCATTGACTCTGCATAAATGATGTTTCAAACTGCTTTTTGTGAGGTGCCCTGAGAACCAAAACCACCCTTCACAGAATTGTTTCTAAAGGAATTACGCTTCAAATTCCAAATACCTATTACAATTATTTTTTTAATAGAACTTATTCTTAAAATAGAAGCTAATCATGAAGTGGGGGAAATTGGAGGGGGAGACGAACCATGAGAGACTATGGACTCTGAGAAACAAACTGAGGGTTCTAGAGGGGAGGGGGGTAGGGGGATGAGTTAGCCTGGTGATGGGTATTAAAGAGGCACGTACTGCATGGAGCACTGGGTGTTTTACGCAAACAATGAATCATGGAACACCACATCAAAAAAAAAAAATTAAATCCCACAATTCTGGCTGGAAAAAAAAAAATAGAAGCTAATCGCACTTGTAAATAAGATGCTAATAAAAAAAAGATCCTTTCAGTGGATATTGTAGCATAACAAAACATATCAATTATTTAAAATGCATATTAACTAAATGAGTTTTCTGGGAAAGAAATCACTTATTTTCACAATCAAGAAATGTTTAATTTTTGTAACTCAACACAACTGATTCCGACTGTGTGTCTTCACACCTTTTACAAATTATTTAGCAATCTCCTACAGACCACTACTTATGTCTCAAACACGCCAACAACACATTCATCTGGAATGCTCTAGAGTATCATAAAACTAAGCAGCTATAAAACTGGTATCAAACATTTCTGACACCCAATTCAAATTAACAATCAGAGTCCAGGTATTTTTAAATGCCACCCTGAAAGGGTGGTCTTTCAATTATTCCATTTTTCAAGGTTTATATTCTCCATTCTTCCAAAGATCTTATCTTGCTACTCCTGAACCTCAAAAAAACCTGCAGTTAAATTAAAAAACAAAACAAAACAAAAAAACAAACAGAAAACCCAACAGTGGGTGTCTGGGTGGCTCCGGGTCCTGGGATCAAGCCCCAGGGAGCCTGCTTCTCTCTCTCCTCCTGCCTGTGCTCTCTAGCATGCACTATCAAATAAATAAAATCTTTAAGATTTTATTTTATTAATTTGTCAGAGAGAGAAAACAAGCAGAGGGAGCATCAGGCAGAGGGAGAAGCAGGTTCCCTGCTGAGCAAGGAGCCCGATGCGGGACTCCATCCCAGGACCCTGGGGTCATGACCTGAGTCGAAGCCAGACGCTTATCCAACAGCCACCCATGTGTGCCAATAAATAAAATCTTTAAAAACAAACAAACAAACAAACAAACAAAAAAACATACCAGCAAGAGAACGTTACTTACCCAGCTAATAGAAACTAGGACCACGGGGGTATATATTTATAGCTATAGTAGCTCTTTGCTACTTTAAAGTGTTAAGATGTAAAACTGATCCTAATCAAAATCTTGGAAAATAAGATTACCTCTAAATGTAATAAAATTAGCAATATGATTACCATATCTATCAACCAACTAAAATTCTATTTGTCCTTCAGTCATTATGCCATCCAAATACCACAGAAATTTGGCTAATTTTATTACATTAATTTCTTAATGGCTGAGGCATCTTCTTTTGTATGTGTCTATCAAAACTTACTTTGAGGGGCGCCTGGGTGGCTCAGTTGGTTAAGCGACTGCCTTCGGCTCAGGTCATGATCCTGGAGTCCCAGGATC